AGAAATAACATGAGCACTAACCTTTTGTCTCTGACTATACACAGGTTTTGATTCCATTCTGCAGATGAGGAAGCAAAGAGACTCTAAGCAGCTTGTTTACTGAGTCAGAATATATTGTGGTTGGAAGGAAAGCTGTTTCAAAGCCTGGTTTCCTGACTCCAAACCATCTGTCCTGTGCAGAAGCTTTCTCCCTGAACAGTCAGCTTCTCACACCACCCAAAACAGACTTTTCTCCTCCTGCTGACTCACTCCTGACTTGGTCCAGGCTGCCCACCTTCCACCACCACTCTTTGAATGGTGCTTCTTGAGTGCCTGCTGCCAGCCAGGCCTTGTGGAAGGAAGAAGAAGGGGTGGAAGAGGAAGTTAAGAGCCTGCCCCCGAACTTGAGGACATCTCTGACTGCGGAGAGAGACGAGGAAAGCCCAACAGTAGAAATGCAAACAGCGGCGGACAGCTCTTGAACGTCGTGCTTGGAGGAGCACAGGGGTCAGGGCTCTGGATGTGTGTGACCAGGGTCACTGCACAACAGAATCACTCTGTCATGCGCCTGTGCACACACAGGTGGCAGCCACCTTTGAGCAGCCACATCAGCCCAGGGACTCAGATTGAGTTTGCCGGGCTCATTCACAAGACATACTAGGAGGTAAATTTCCTGCTGAACTTACAGTGGTTTTGTTGTTAACCCAGGCATAGGACTTTACATTCGTCCCTATTAAATCGCATCTTGTCAGTTGGGGCCCATTGATCCAAGCTGCTGAAGTCTCCATGATCCCAATTCGGCCACGCAGAGCACAGCTACAGGTATCCCCCTCCAGCTCTGTGTTGCCTAAGAGAGGTGATCAGTGCACCTTTTACACCTTCACAGAGATGCTGACAGAACAGGGGACCAGGCTGAGGCACAGCCCCAGGCCACTGACAGCAATCTCAGTCCAGCTGTCTAACAGGATTTGGGGAGCCGTGAACAGTGGATTCGTGTCCTCTGGGTAGTTACCAGCCAACTACTAATCCACCAATGCTACCTCCACCCCAGCTACATTTCTCCACCCTGCATTCTGAGAGATGTCATCAAATATTTATATCCACATGTGACACATTTAAAATGCCCTCTCAGCTACTGTTCTAGAGTGAATATTAATAACAGCTTCCCCTAAAAGGGTGTCCAGCATTAGTCAAGACCGAGAAAAGTCAAGGCCAAAGTTCGAGCTCAGAGACACCCCAGGTGTAAATTCAGTGGGCCGTGGATTTCATTCCATCGGCGATGGGACGTGGCTGGAAAACAGAAAGCTCGGTGGGTTTGAGAGATGGAGGGAGTGCGATCTGCTGCCATCACTTTTAATTATCCTCAACTGGGAAAACGCAAGTGTAGGCGGGCCAGCTTGTGCAATAAAGCATTTTGATCAAAGAGGCAGTTGCACAGAGCACCTGTTTGAGGGCTGGCCCGAGAGTCCACAGGGACCCAGCAGAGTTACGGAAGTTATAAAGCGGGTCCCTGCAGCTCCAGGGCAGACAGCAACACTGAAAAACGCTTCTCTGGGGAAGCCTTGAGTTTCTTTAAACATTCGATTATGGCTCTACAGACGCAGATTTGAAGTGAGTAGCATCCGATCTTTGCACAAATTAGGGATGCCAGAAGGCAAATAAAACAGACTCCCTGAAGAAACTGCTTAATTCAGATTCAGCTCTGCTTCATGAAGAGCTGGTTTACACGAGGAGTTTGTGAGTCGGGTCACTTAGGTGATTCTCTTTGAGCATTCGCTTTAGATTATGGCTCTTATTTAAGGCTCTGAGGCCACCTTACGACTTTCTCTCTTGTGATTTCTAAGCAGGTTTTTCATTAAAACAGATTTCTAGATATTTAAAGACCAAATATTCAATGGGTAGAGCTTTTTAGCCTTTTGAAAGTTGCCCGAGGCCTCCCTAAAACCCAGTGTTTCCTCTTTATGAGTAATAAATACTTCAACATTCTTCTTTTCTACCATTTTTAAGTTTTTGCAGCAGCCTTTTTCCATCAATATAAAAAGTTCTCCTAAATTTAATAGTAATATTTTCTTGTTGTAAAACATGAAGACAGTAAGAGAGTGAATGTCTTCCATACTCTTACTATTCAGCACACATGCACATGTGTGTAATTCAAAAATAAGACCTGATTGCCATGTAAACTTTTACCTAACATGCTGTTTACACTGATATCATGAATGTTTGTAAAATAATAAAGATCTCCACCATCATCCTTAATTGCTGTGTAGTACTCTATTTCATAGCCAAGTCATAATTTATGTAACCAATCTTCCTGTCGACATGCTTCTAGCTAAAAACATTCTGCAATGATGATGCTTGAACACAGAGCTGCCCCCCAGCCTGTAGGCCGTGGAGCAGGGTACCAGCCAGCTCACCTTCTGACTGGGTGGGCTCTCTCCTGCTCTGGTTGTTAAACATCGAAATGACTCTTGCTTGTACTTTTATCTTTGGCTGCTGTAGCTTTGTTTGGATAAATTCTCTAATTGGATGTGTTGGGCTAAAGGCTACGCAAATTAAAAATTCTATTTTAGACCAGATAATTGATTTCCTTTTGAGTCTGACAGCATTAAGAGCTAGTAGCATACAAGCATATCACTCTACTTATGAAACTAGGTTTTTTTGGTATTCATTGTCTCAAAAGTGAAGCCCATATAAAACAGACATGTAACTTTTCTCCAAGAAATTGTTATGCTGAATTATTTGGGGGGATGCTTTACTAAAAGAGTGATATTGGCATTCTCGAATTATGAAAATGTTATTATTCTCATTTATTTTAGCTGAGCCATCCTGCCACCTGTTGGCAGCTCAGCGGCAGCTCAGCTCGGGCCGGGAATTGAACCAGCAACCCTATTGCTCAGAGCTCACACTCTTGAGCGAGCTCTTAACCAACTGAGCCCCTCAGCCGGCCCTGAAAACATTATTTTTATCAGAATGAAATCTCTACAATTGATATAAGTAGTATAATGAAAATAAAGCTATAGAATGTTACATGAGACATATTAAACATGCTCCATATATTTTCTAAACTGTAGGTTGACAGTATGGCTGGGAAGAGAGAAATAAATCAAGAAGAGTTTTATGCTTTCAACATTTCTACTTTTGAGATTATACTGTGAAAGACCCAGAATTGGAAGTGAGCAAATTAAGGCACATTTGAAATGATCTTTGATACAAATTAGCCTCTGCCTCATAGTTACTGTGCATTAGACTATCTGCCTTAATGAAAGGTAAACCATTTTTAGAGGGAACCGTGAACAAGGCTAGTAAGCCATTTTACAGACTCAAAAAACCAGATGGGCTCTGAAAAGTTCTTTTTCACATGAAAAAGGGTGTCCATTATAAACCTAAATGAAGAAGTGGGACATCACATTGCACACTGATATCAACTAGGAATACACAAGATGCAAATCTTACTCATAAGAAAAAAATCTACATGATCATCCACCAAAATATTAGCCAGGATTGTGTTCGGTCGTAGGAGCACATTTTTTTTTTCTTTTGGTTCCTTTGTTCCTTTTTTTCTTATAGCACTGGGCTTATATTTCTTTTGTAGTAAAAACAAATAACTTAAGGTTTCATTAAGTCTATTTCTGTTCCTCTACCTGCAGTTGTAGCGCAATCTGAAGGTGACGGATCGGTCCCACTCATGCTATTTACCGTATTCCTCCAACAGCCCAACAACAGGAAGGACACTTCCCAAATCCAACTGCCAATCCTAAAACCCAACTGAGGAAACATACCACCACCAAGAGCCTTATTTTCTTTTGACCTTTCAGAGAATACCTAGTTTTTCTCCACGGATATATTTTCAAAACCACATACAAACAGCAATATACAAAAATTAAAATGTCCAATGTCCCACAATATTCTTACATGAAAAATAAAAAAGAGCATGAAAATATTTGCATAAGCAACGTACAGGTTTCTGTTCAGCTCTCTGATTATCCAAGATGTGTTAAGATCATCAAGTCACAAGGGAAGTTAAAAACACATTTACTGCTCACAAAAGCCCAATGGTGAGGGGTAAACATGTAAGAAATACCGAGAGGCAGGTTTTTGTGACTAGATATCTCTGGTGGAACTCATTCCAGTGAAGCTGTCATTTCAGAAAAAAGAAAAAGAAAGAAAAGGAAAGAAAAGAAACAGAAACAGAAACAAACAAAAGAAGTCCCAGCACTTCACTGATAGGTGAGGCATGGAACCAGTAGCGTTGGGAGAATGAAGGTGGACTTGAGAACTTGATATGTAGCTTTCAGTGCAGGTTGCTTATTAGGACAGCTCAGTTCTTTTCTGGTACTAATCAAACAGAGTGGCGAGGGGTCCTTTAGATCTGAGGGAGCCATGGGGACAGCCACACAGTATAAAGGATGACAAGAATATGAGTCGTTCTTACTTATGCCCTGAAGCACACGAGTCTTCTACCAGGAAGGCATACAAAATATGTAACAATAAGAAACAAACATGATGCCATTTTCGGGAAATGTATATAGCCTTGCAAAGAAAGGGCCAACGTTTTAAATAAAAAGATAAATACTTTATACCACTGGAGACAAACTTGGGAAGATAAAATAAACTCTTGGTATTTCTCAGGGAAAAAAAGCAGCTCTCTCCATTTGAAGCTGTTTCTCCTTGTATAACCCGGGAACTGCCAAAAGTCAAATAATTAGGGAACACAGTTATGTGAACAGAACAGAGAATGCTTAAATGCTGTCCTTCAAAAATTGGGCTCTGAAAAGAAGAAACATCAGAGCGATGAGAAAAACCTGCTGAGTTATGGAGTTCTGTTTTGGAGTGATGGAATTTTTTATTTTTCCATTGGATCCCTGTTTGAAGTGAATTCCAGCCTCAACTCCCTATCTGCATTACGACTCCGTGTATTTGCTTGTTTCTTGAAATGCCAGCATAAATCACACAGCACTTTTCAGTCCACAATGTCTTAACTTTCCTCTATCGTGCAATCAACAGGAATTAACGTGACTTACCCGTTTCTCTCCAGATTTATGGTCAGTTCTTTGCTTTCCAGTTGTATTTGAAAATTCAACACTTCTGGATGATTCTGAAAGAAAAACAAGAAAAGTCAGTCGAAAACAATTTCACTTCGATTCACCAGTCTCTGACTCTGCTCTACAGGCATATTTCGTGGAGGGAGAGAAAAAGACATTTTCTCTTGGGGACCATGCTGAGACCCCAAGTCCAGAACACCGAGACAAGTCTGGGAAATGCGCCGCCTCATGGATGGCGCTGGCATGGCCACGGCCTCTGCCTCTTCTTCCTGTGGCCACACACCTGGGGAACCCTTCTTGACACTACCCCCCTTTTCCCATAATCAACTCCTTCCTCAGTTTCCCTGTCTCAATAAAGGGCACCTTCCTTTCTCCAAATGCTCATGCCAGAAATCAGAGGGCCTCCTTGAAGCCCCCCTTCCCCTCCAGCTCCGTCTAATCCATGAAAAGGTCCTGGTGCCGTGCCCTCCGAACTACAACTCCCAGTGGCCAGGTCCCATCTGAGCATCCGGCTCCAGCTCAGGCCTCAGTCGTCTCTCACCTGGACTGTTGCAACACCCTTCTAACCTGGGCCCCTCCAGATCTACCTTCTCTTTCCCCCCATTCATTCTCCAATGGTCGTGGAGGGATATCTTTAAAAACATCCCCTCATCAACCCACTGCTGCTTATAACGAGCCCACCCTGGCATTGCACTGAATGATAAGATGCCATGGGCTGGTCCTTGCCTCTTTCCACCCCCACACGACTTTCTCGCTCACCTGGTTCTAGCCACACTGGCCTTGCCAGCTCCTCACGCTCCTCTGCAGCTCTGAGGCTTTGCACATGCCATTCCCTCTACTTGCAAGGCTTTCTTTCCAACGCTTGTACTCTGTATCAGCTTTAATGTCCAAATTCAAAGAAGCCTCACCTCACTGCCCAATCTAACTGTAACCCCGCCTCTCGCCAGGCGTTCTTTCTTCCGGTCTCCTGTCCTTTTCCTCGTTGTGAGGAAAAACTTCCTTCGTACTTGTAATAATTCAGTCTGTTCGTTTGTGGGTCCACTTGCTCAGTATGTCCATGGAAGTGCCAGACGAATAACTGAAGCTCAATTAGTATTTGGTGAATGAAGGAATGAATGAATCAGGTAAACAGCTTGATGAAATGCTTCTCCCTCTGGCTAGGCAGAGGCTCCCTCCTTCTCATCGCCCCTGGGCCCCAGGACACCCTAGTCCGTGTGTGCCCCTCTGTTAGTGGGGAGCAAGGAACTACATTCTCACCCTGCCCTAAGAACATTCCCCTGTGGCAATGTCCCTTAACCCACATCCCCCCCCCCCCCCCCCGTGGCCTGCAACCTACCCCTGGTGGCCAAACAGGCCACACTCCCTCCTGCTGAGCCCAATGATTCAGAGTCCTCACTCAAGACACGAAATAGCTGCAGGACCCTTTCATTCCCCGCAAGATGTGAGCTACTTTAAACATTAACATTTGCACCAATTCCACATAAAGTCCCTACAGGGGCAGTTAGAACATTCGGATGTCAACATCTTTCAAAGGAATACAGTTTCCCCCTGGGAGGCAAAAAGACCTTTATCTGTGTATTTTAGTTGAGATCTGAATGGTACAGGAGCAATCAATGGAGAAGGAGAACAGAGAGCTATTTTAATTCAAAAGCACTAATTGCGTTAGATTTCTTAATTTAAAAGCGTGGATTCATTCCATTTTCTTTTGATTTTTATACATTGGAGATAATGAACCAGGGCTGGTTAAATACAGCAATCCTTTTCTTAAAAATGATTGATTGATTACCCTAATGGAACTCTGTCTTTTACTGAATGCTCAAAGAACTGTATTTGCTGAATAAATCAATTAAACGCTAATCAATAGGCCGGTAATGTTTTGGCAGTCGTTGCACTTCTATTTTTTTAATTGGAAAAAAGACATCCAAAGAGTATACAAAATGTATTAAGCACAATTTAAAAAACAACAATAAAATAATCATCAGGGCTCCCAGCTGAAAAATCAAAATATTACCAGAATCTTCGAAGGCCCTGCCTTAGTTAGCTCTGGCTGCCATAACAAATTAGCATAGACTGGGTAGCTTAAGCAACAGAAATTTACTTTCGCACCGTTCTAGAAGCTAGAAATCCAAGATCAAGATCTGGTTTCTTATGAGGTCTCTCTCCCTGTAAGTTCCTCACAGGATGAGCAAGGCCAGCCTCCCCCAGATGGTTTGCTCAGGCAGGTCTGCAGAGGAAGGCTCCAGCCAGGGTCCCCTGTCGCTGGGACCCTCGCGTGCCCTGTGCTCTCTCTGAGGACTCCCACAGGGGACTTGGCCAGCACATCCTCCGTAACCGGAAGTGTAAACAGATGTAAAGAAAGCAACCGATGGATAAGCTACGGTTTGTTTTTCGTTCTCCATGCTGTGCTGCCCCACTTTCATTTGTGTAATTGGGACCTCAGCCAAATTGGAATTTAAATTCTTTCACCCGTGATGGGTGCAAAATAGGTCAAGTCAGTGAATGTGTTTTTCCATGGATGCAGTGATGTTTACGACTGCTCTCTGATGGGCAGAAACATATGCAGCAGCAACTTCTTGGTGTTTCTAGCTCCTGAATGGATAGCCAATTTTCAGTGACTTCAAGAACTCTGAACTTGATCATGCAGTTGAAGTACGGTGGCAGGGAGCCAGCAGAAGGGAGGGAATTGCATTGAAAGAATAAAATGTGGGGGTGATATCCAAGTCCACTCCCATCACAACTTCTAGGTTACTCCTTCAAAGACAATGGTCAGTTTGGAGCCAACGCCCTTGAATTCAGCTATTGATACTGGAAGCTCAGAGGGACCTAATATTTCAAGCAGAACAATATTAAAATATTGCCTTCAAGGGCCTCGGAAATAACTTGACCCCTCTCGGCACTGAATAAATGCCTCAGATTGCAGGTCTGGCATTCAAGGAGCATGAGGGGGCCATGTATTGCTATGAATGAATACGTAGAGGCAATCTTGATTGTCACTTTAATGTTAGTGGGCTAGTTTCACAGCTGGAAAGATACATGCACAAAAGAGGACAATACTGAATTAGCTGCAGAATAACCCAGTAAGGAATGAAGGCATTGTAACACCATAATGGGGTGTCCCCAGCTTGGGGCCCTTTTGTTATTACATGAATGATGATAATGCTTATTCATAAGTTATGGATAATTTTTTCTGATGGAAATTGGTACATAGGAACCTTAGGTAAAAAGCCTTTGAAATACACATGAGGCCGTTTTTAAGGACTTTTTGTGTTAAAACGTTGGATTACTTTTAGTAATCCTTTAGTAATCTTACTGTATCGCTGTGGCATGATGCAATCACAGATTTCAGCCCCCTTCTCACTTCCCACCGTGGAAAGGCACCACGCTTCAGTCATCTGGCCCCTAATGGATGTCAGTGTCAATGCTACTGTCCCACCATGAAACAGGGCTCGTGATGCGGAATGTCGTGTGAAGAAGGCCTTGGAGGTGCCAGGACCCAGATATCTTTTCCCACCCTGAAACTACCTCCGGCAGCCCGGGAGAAGGTCAGGGAGCCTGACTGGCTTCTAGGGGCTTCCTGAGTTGGAAGTCTGCAAATATGTAACAATTTCTCCTCCTTTGATTGCCAAGGAACAATGATGCTAAATCAGAAAGAACTATTTCATGTCCCTCTAGAAACGTAGTGTTTTCCCATTTGGGAAGCTGTACGCTGAGAGGGGGCTTAGGTGAGCTCTGTCCACAGACTGGCTGGATGTTACCACTCAGGCCAGGGGACTGCCCGTCAGCCATTTAACTCTGCTGGGCCTCAGTTTCCTGTCTATCAGTGTGGTTGGGAGACTAATGGGCCCCCAGAGATGTTCTTATGTGAATCCCTGGAACCTGTGAATTTGTTGGCTTACTTACTTAGGAAAAGGGAATGATGGGCCCATTGTAATCACGAGGGTCCTTACGAGCAGAGACCCCTTCATTACTGGGGTCAGAGATATGTGACACGAGAAGAACTTGACCCATTTTACTTCCTTTGAAGATGGAGCAAGGGAGCCATGAGCCAAGGCACGGGGTGGCCTCTAGGAGCTGAGAATGGCCCTCAATTTACAGCCAGCAAGAACAGAGGGACGTTGGCCTTACAAACTTAAAGAGCTAAAATTCTGCCAAAATCTCAAAGGAGCAAGAAAGAGATCCCTCCCTAATGCCTCCACCAGAACAGGCCACCCTGCGAGCACCTTGATTTTAACCCGGTGAGATCTGAAGCAGAGAATCCAACTGAGTCACTGGACTTCTGACCTTCAGAATGGAGAGATAATAAACGGGTATTGTTTTAAGCCACTTAAGTGATGGCAGTTTGTTAAGCAGCGATATAAAACTGATATCATCAGAAACATTGCTGTGAGAGCCCAAAGGCAAAACGTGTTTGGAAACCACCGTGTGTGATAAAATGAAAATGCATGTTTATTACAGAAATCCAAATGAAACTGCTACTTCACAGCATGACAGTGACAAAATACCACTTCACTTATTATTTATTGTTATTTATCCAAATTGCAACTCTTCTGTGTTTTTTTTGTATGTAGATCTAAATGAGCATTATAAATGAGGTGGTGTTTTTTAAAGCTTACAAGTTTTCCCCCCAAAATATTATACACTAATTGGAGACCTATTTATGACTCAGGCACAGGGCCACTTCCTGGGGAGATGTCTGAAAGCAATGCAGCTCTTCCCTTGTTTTATATGGAAAGAAAATCTTACCCTTATATGACGAGTATTGAATATCGTAGAAGGGAATAGAAAGTTCTGAAAGATCCATGAGGCTACAGCACAAAATATGTGAATGTACTTCATTCTGAGTGAAATATTTTAAAGGTAATACGTTGTAAGATGTGCTTACTGGTATAATTAGGGACATTATAATATAAGAAAATGGCGCAGAGTGTTGCTTGTTGGAACGACTTGCCTAGTCTGACAGGACATAGCCTTAGAAAGCATGCACTGTGTTTATTAACAAGAAAGCTTGGTTTCCAATTCAAAGTTCATTTATCTAACGAATCTGATGTCTGGA